TGGAGGGGGGTTGGCGTATAATGAAACACCCGGGGGAACCGAGGAAGCCGTTAGTCTCTGATCCCCACCCAGCGAGTTGTACCAAGGAAGAGTGCTGGTGGAAGGCCCACGGAGATGTCGGGGGGCGGCGAACTGGGGCACGGAAATAGATGTCCCGATCGTCCACTTCCGTGGCCGAGATGGGAAGCTTTGGATCAGGTCCTCCCCCCGCTTGCCCCTGGACCCAGGGCGGCGGCCGTCTGCGGACTTGGCGGAGAGAGCTTTGCGCTCGTGAGCGAGCGGCGGCGGGTGATGTCTCGAAAGTCCTTGAAGTCCTTGGAGCGGTTGCGGTCGTGCTTGGCCTTGCGGGCCGAGTGCGAGTGCGTGAGCGACCCTTTCCGAGACCGCTGGATCTTCTGGTTGCGGTTGATGGGCGGCAGCGTCGACGAGCGGCCTGGCGGAGAGTGGGTATGGGCATGGTGCGGATGCAGAATGGACGGCAGCAGCTCCCGCTGCCGTGGGTGAAAGGAATCCCTGAGGTCACGGATGGGCGGCAGCTCGACCGACCGGATGTCTGTATCGTCCTATACACCACGTAGGCAAGAACAATTAGCATCCATTGGCTCGCACACACGCAGTCTCGATAGCCGAGAGTGAGTGGGAAGGGTGGACAATACCGGCTCTGAGTCCCAGTCCAGGCGGTGGTGCTGCTGCAGCTGCGCCAACGCCACCGCAGCCGTGGTAGCTGCCGGATGCTCGACGTCCTTCTGGAGCTGCTGGTGCTGCTGCTGCTGCTGGTGATGCTGCTGGAGCTGGTGCTGGTGCTGTTGCTGCTGGTGCTGGCGCTGCTGAGGCTGCTGGGAGGCCTGCTGCTGCTGCTGCTGCTGCGGTGGCTGCTGCGGCGGCGTGTTGACCATGAGCTGGAAGCTCTCCTCGGTAGCTGGCAGCTTGGGGATGTAGTGGTTCGGGTGAGCCCGCCGGATGTGCTCCTGCATCGAGCGGTACCTCTTCTCCTACAGAACGTCAGCATCAATCCGTCTATCCTCGAGCAGGCTGGGCCCGGGAGGCTATGGATGGACAAACCCCTAGACATCGCTTGCGGCAGTTCGAGCCATCGTTGTTTGCTAGCGGGCAGACGACCTCGTTGGTGGCGTCCGAGACGGAGAACGAGCTTGTAAGAGACGGCCGGGGCATGGCAGCAGCATCAGGGCATCGGTCACTACGCAGAAGCGGTCGTCTCGAGAGCGCAGACGCAAGGAGGTAGCTGGGTCGAGCTGGGTCGAGCTGGTCTGTAGCCGGCGACGGTCGCGGGCTCGCGGTCTTGCTGTGCTTTTGGCGTCCGTTTGGTTGTTTCTGCTTGTTTTGCTTGAGGTTGAAAGTTGAAGTTGGAAAAAGCGCCAAAGGTGGGAAAAAGCGCGGGGAGCTTAGGGGAGCTTCACTCGCACGGCCGAGCAGCTAAGGACACGCACCGCTTGCCATACAGAGTGTTGCTGCAGTGTTGCATTTGCGGTGCGGTTCTAGAGTCGCTGTGTTGATGCGTGGCAGTAGAGGGCGTGGGAGTACGAGGTGGCTAGCGCCGGTGCCAAACAGCGTATAAAAAGCACAAGCAGAAGCGATTATTTTATAGATGATATTATATAGACAGATGCATAAAGATACAGAAGATACAGAAGATGCTGAGAGTGCGATGCTGAGGAGAGGGTTAGTCGTCGTTGGCGGTGCTGGCGACCTGCTTGCCGACCTCGTAGCTCGAGATCATGATGGCGCAGGCCGGGGCGACCTTGAGACAGCGCGCAGCCCAGCCCCTGAACAGGCCCTGCACGCCCTCGTCCCGCAGGATGCTGAGCAGGAAGCGCGGGATCGACCCGGACGAGCCCGGGGCCACCTGCTGTCTCGTCTTGCCGACGTCGAACGGGGTCGTCACCAGCGCCGACACGGCTCCCGACACTGCCCCGGCCGTGAAGCTCTCCACAAACACCACCGTCGAGCTCGGCGAGTGAGGTGCTGTTGATGCTGTTGTCGTTGTCTTGAGTGCTGGGTCATCACAGGCATAAGTGTGAGGAAAGACATGGCCTCGCATTGACTCGAGCTGCCGCTTGATGCGCTCGTATCCCCACCAGTACAGGCCCGAAAAGGGCACGTCTCGCCACATGGTCAGCGTCAGCCCGCGCCAGAGAGAGGTGTACCCTTCCCGCTGCACCATCTGGCCGAGGTCTCGCAGCGTGGCCTTGAAGTGGTCCGGGCCATGCACGCCGCCGCCCGCCGGGATCGCCTGCAGCCGCGTTCGGAACATCTCGATCGGACTGATCGCGGATGCGGCTGCTATCCGCGCAACGGAGCCTGCCACCAGCGGAGCCGCGCTGGCCGGAACGTAGCTGGCCACGGGGCTGCCGCTGTCGTACCGCAGCCAGTCGTACCCCGTGAAGTAGATGACGTTGGCCGGGATTGCCATCACCAGCGTGGGGGAGAGGCCGCGCCAGAGTGACAATGGGCCTTCATGGCGTGCTATCTTGCGCAGCCCGTCGAGTGTAGAGGTGTAGGACTTGCGTTGCTCGACCACGCATGTCTGCGGAGACGATGATATAGATGTATTAGATGGTGCTGTGGTTGTAGATGTAGTTGGTGGTGGCTGGTTCACCAGGCAGAACTGTGTCTGCGCATTCTCTCCTATCCAGAAGACTTCCCGGCAGCACGCCGTCACGCCGAGATTGGGAGGGAGGTGTCGGAAGAAGGTCAGCGGTGATGGAGAGACGGATGTCAGTGTCGTAGGCTGTGGCGAGGCCCGCACAATCGGTGTCTGCGCCTGTAGACGCACTCTGACCACATCCAAAGGTGTTACTACTGCGTCGTTAGCTGCAATCCCAGCACATAACCAGGATAACATATCAGGAGAACATACCTAGTAATGACGTGAGAAGACTCCCCCAGGTGGCGGATATCATCTTCTGGCTGGTTGATATGTTCTCGTACTGCGCCGAGGCATCGCTCCCACGGCTGCCAGCGCCGCTGCTCGACCGAGAGGCCATCGTGTCTATCTGGTGTCTGTTTATCCTGCTGATTCTGCTGTTTCTATCGTCGCTGCTGCTGTTCGTGTATCCTGCTGCTGCTGCCGCTGTCTGTTTGCCGGTGCTCAAGGCACCCGCAGACTCAGCGTCATGAGGCATTCATCCACCGTCTCCGGCACTGCCAATCGCGCTCTCAACCGTATCCAAAAACTGTCCGGAGGGTCGGAAACCGAAGATGCAAACTCCGAAAGGGCGTGAGACAACAGATCGAGACCGATTTTTCTCTTCCTCCTCGTCTTTTTTCCTTCTTTTGCTTCTCTTTTGTTTCTTTTTCTTTTCTTTTCTTCGACTCATGGAAAGAAAAAGAAAGATAGATTGATAAGCGCATCGGATCTCGGAGTAACCCTTCTCCGCTTATCTGATGGCTTAGGTAAGACCGACTCCGTCATCGCCGGTGACTCTTTTGGGCAGTTGATATTACATTGTACATTTTATATACATCAATTAAGGAGATACAGAGCAAGACGAGACGAGAAAGATGGCCGAGACACAGCAGGAAGACGAGCTCGAGTCGTTTCGACGCCAGTGGCTCGAGGAAGTCCGCACCAGGCACCCCGCCACAGTCGGACCAGCAGCAGCAGCAGCAGCAACAGGCAGCAGAAGCTAGGCCCGCAGAGAGGAGAAAGTCCCTGCAGCCGCGGCCGCAGGCTTCCGTACAGCTTCCGCAGGATCTGGCAGACGAGGCGGATGAGGATGGCGATGCAAAGGTCGACACTTCTGAGCTAGACGCGGAGTTCAAGTCGTTGGAGCTGGGCAGCAGCAAAACGGAGGAGAAAGCTCCCCAGTCAGCCCTGGAGCACTTTGAACGGGCCATCGAGAAGGAAGACCAGGGCAGACTGGGAGATAGTCTGTCCCTGTACCGCAAGGCTTACCGTGTACGTTATGTTGTCCTCATGGATAGCCCTGAGAATATGCGTTTATACTTACTGACGGGAACAGCTTGATGCCAAAGTCGAGCAGGCGTACCGGGAGAAGCATCACGCCAATGCCAAACCATACGTACCGCCAGCAACATCGACAGCAACAACAGCGACTACTCAACCACCAACTGGGGAAAAAGTAGATGTCACCTCGTTTGCTACGCTGCCGATTCTCCCCGCGGATCCAATTATAGAAAACACGCCTCCTCCGCCATGTCCGATTGCCCGTCTGCCATCGGAAGTGCTGATAGAGATACTCAAGCATGTAGCCCTGCTTGATCCGGCACTTTTCTTCCGACTGTCTCTCGTTTGCAAGCGTCTGGCCTACCATTTCATGCATGAGCAGCACATATGGCGTCGGCTGTGTCAGGGGACCGAATTCGGCCTCGCCTCCATGCATTACTCCTTTGCCTGTCAGATCAATGGCTCTCCCATAGACAAAGGCTACCTGCTCGGCCCAGACTCGGAGTCGGACTCGGATTCTCAGATCGTGCACTCCCACCCGTTCACGGCACAGATAACAGCCACCATACCTAAACCGCTCACCAGCTGGTCCCATGTCTTCCAGGCCTTTCCTCGGCTGCGTTTCACAGGTGTCTATCTCAGCACCGTCAACTACATGCGTCCGGGTGCCAACTCAGACATCCACAGCGTCACATGGAACTCACCCATCCATATCGTCACATACTACCGTTACCTACGCTTCTATCCCGATGGCACCGTCTTGTCGTTACTTTCCACTGCCGAGCCCGTCGAGGTTGTCCACCACCTCACGAGAGAAAACATCGATCTATTGGCCACCAGCTCTGCCGGACGGAAACACACAAGACATGTGTCAGACACTTCAGCTCCCGCACCTCAGTCAACGTCTACAGCGCGACAGGTAGGTCTTACCTCAATAACGATTACTGTCTATATATACGTGCTAACATGCTGTAGAATTGCGCTGGCTTTTTAGACGCTGACGCCACGCCAGGTATGCGCTGCCTTCTCCCGCGCCCTCCAGCGTCCCTGCAGATACACCTGGTGCCCCAAGGTCGAGATCAAAGTGTCCGTCCCCCTCCCGCTACCGCGAGCAGCTGGAAGGCATCGAGATCCTCTTCGGCCAGATGAAGGCGCCTTACTTCCCCAACCCGGAGTTCCACACTCCCGCGCGTCTGGCGGGCTCAGAGAAGCCTGTCCTGCTTGGAGCCAGGGCCGGACGGGGTGGTTCCTTCGCCTGTGGTCGAC